TTTTTCTGGAATTTGCCACCTTGTAATATCATTTTAATAAACCTGAAGCTTTAAAAATCTGAGAATGCCAAACTCTAAATGCTTTGTCTTAACTTACAGATTAAAAATTTAATTTTATATTTCTCGGTTATATTTTAGTATGGGCAAGAGATCTATAAAGAAAGAGAAGAAATGTTGTCTGAAAGTTGCCGTGTTCACTTAAGACTACATATTGTCTTTGATGTAAAGGGTACTCATAAAAATACTTCCCCGATATATGAATCCCTAGCGGTCTCGACCAGTCGAAATGAAATTTCAGATATTTTTATTTGAATGTATACGTTACAGATTGTGATAATTTAAAACAATAGAGCTCTGATGGTTACGATTACAGTGAATAAATTTAGAAAATTTCGGTTATTAACACCCACGTTTTTGCTGCTCAAACTGATCAGCGCATTAAAAAACTATAAATGGCACTGGAACGATACACGTATTGTAAAAACATTTGCAAAGAAAAAACATTTGCAAAGAAAAGATCATCATCATTCCTAATCATTACCAATCAGATATGAGGAAGACAGAAGATGAACGCTGCGAATATTATGGACGGATGAGGCACATTTCTCTTTAACTGGGAACATAAACTCCAAGAACTGCATGTACTGGTCTGAAGAAAATTCTCACAATGTGGCATCAGCGCCTTTATATGAAGCTAAAGTGACTTTTTGGTGTGGCACCGCAAGCATAATTGTTCTCGGTCAGTACTTCTTAGAAGATGTCGCTTCTACAGATGTGAAAAACGTGCTCCAATCACAAGTGCTCGGTATACAACACTGTTGCAGAATTACATAATTCCTGAATTGCAGTAGCGAAATGTGGCTAACGGCATGGTATGGATGCAAGGTGGATCTCTTTTACATGCCGCCACATATGTTCGGCACTTTTGAGCCTTTTTACACGGACAACACTTTGGAGATGGAGTCATACCACGTAACTTTGCACTTTCGTGGTCACAGCGATCCCTCGATTTCATGCCGATGGATATCTGGTTCTATGACTATCCGAAATCTAAGGTGTACACATCAAATTCGCAAGATTTGTCAGAATTGAAAGATTCATGTTTTATACATGAAGTTAAACAGATTCCTCTGGGTGGTGGAGGATTACAGTCGTCATTGTTGTCAACAATCTCCCTCATGCGATGGATTATCGTCTGCGAGGATGGGCATAGTGAAAACTTGTAATGCCAATTAAAGCCCACCTCCTCTCTTGTGTTGTCATTTGTCCTTTACAGTTATCTTCTTTGCAAATTTTTTATACTGGCAATTTTCGTCATACGTGTATCGTTCTAACTCCATTCATGGTTTTCCGCTGATCAATTTGCGGAAGAAAAAATAAGTTCTGGCATTCGAAATTTTCGAATTTTTTTCACTGTAAACATAATCGTGAGAGCTCTATTGTTTTAAATCATCACAATCTCAAAGTATACCTTAGAATAAAAACACCTGAAATTTCACTACGATTGGCTGAGTCGATAGGCCGCTAAGGATTCATATATAGCGGAAATTTTCTTATGACCACCCTGTATGTTTTCCGTGATTTAAATTTGCTTGAATAATACGGTGAATATCTTGGTCTACCTTAATTCCTAAACACTACGGTCTTTAGTTTCTGCCTTCCATCAGAATTATATATCTTTTACCCCTTTTGAACTATTTTTGTCTCTACAACACCTTTTTTTCTTAAGTTCAAAGTAAGCTAAAAATGCAGACAATTTTATTCATTGTATAAATTCAACATTGTACAAAAACAAAAATAACATTTGTAGGATCTAGTCTTCTTTGCTATCATACAATGTTACTAGATCCACTTAAATGTCTATGTTGCGAATTCTCGCAAGGATTCGAAGATGAATCCAAAAGGGAAAGGGTGTAAAACACCCTTTTATTGAACACAATAGTTTACAGACGGCACGGTTTACATGATTACATAGTCATCAACTACTTGTAGTGCGTAACTTAAACGATAATGTAACAACTAAATTCAAAGCTAAATAGTAGTACAAGACTATACAATTCGATTTAATCTAGCAGGTTGAGTCAGAAACCTACACCGGCGAGATAATAATTTTGGCGGCAAGAATGCGAAGCCAAGATTCAACGTTCAGCTGGTATAATTAAGAACGTGCACTCTCAATAGCCAAACCACGCTCTAACTAAACCTTTCGCTACTTCCGTTTAAATAGACTCTCATTTACCTTAACTGATTACATACTGGCGAAGAAATGAAAAGCAAATGAGAAAAGACAGAAAAGGCTAATAAATTAAAACAACTATTAGTAAAAATAATAGAATCCTACAGTTTTAAGATCAAATAAATAACGCAATGCAAAATACCTGAATTTCACTTTAATTGTATTGTAATTGAGGAAAAAATAGTTATTTTATACAAAAAAGAATAAAATTAAAATATTCTGAATTTATATCATAAGAAAACAAAAATTTGATAATACAAAATGAACTTGAGACTATATTCCAACCTATGTATACTATTTTTCAAAAATAAATTTTGTGAAATGCGCTAATACATTTCATGTAAGAAATCGCTTTTGCTGCATAAGTTCTTTACAAGATATGCTCGAAACTTAAACCTGCAATGTATATATATATCTTCATAGAAAAATTTATTTTTCAATTAAATATTCAATAAAGCTTTAAACTACCACTTTTTTACACACAAATGAAATTTTTTGTACAAGCCAAAATTTTAAGGATGAACATCATTATGTGAAATTATCGCCGCAGAATCAAACAAATCAATTTGTTAGGATTTGCATATTTGAAATATATGAAGAGAACGCCTGAAAATACATAAATTCCCGATTCTTGCATTTAAAAATCTAATAGTATAATTATAGTAACTCAAAATCCGGTAAGGAAATTAGTACTACTGGCGAGCTTTGCTTCGCCGAAATTTTCAATGAAAAAGAATAAATGAAAAAGAAAGGTGAAATTGTCATCATGCCTCAGATTCATCATCTCTTATGTGCGGAAAGTCACAGCCATGCAGCCACCAAAATTGTAACTGAGTTCAGTATGTCACAGGATGTTTGTCTTCAGGCTTTGAATTCAGTTAATACTACTGAAATATATTTCAGGCTCACTGCATGAAATTGCCCTCTCTCTAAGACCGTTCAAGAGCAGCAATGTTTAACGATAATAGCTATACACAATCGCCATCATAAGGCGTAATTTGTAAATCACAATTTGTAAATCTCCTCTGCTACAGGATAGAAATCAGAATATCCGCCAAATCTTGGCTAAATATTTGGAATTACTTACGATTGACTATATTATATTGTACGTGGCGCTATTCTGATTTCTAGTTCTCTGAAAAGTGCCTATTTTTAGTCGTCAGTTTATCAGTTTCTAGTCATAAGTGTGAAAAGGGTAAGACATATCAGCAAGAAATATCGTTTTGTGTGTGTTTGGAGGCTGATGTGGGGCGGTATCATGATTGATGCACATGCCGACCTACAGGTGCCGGTCAGTAATATTATAATACCTCTACTGTAAATCAGTTATTGACAGTATGCTTTCTTGCTTCTGCGCTATTGCCGAAACATTTCATTTTAAGGATGATTATACCTCATCTCGTTAAACAAAAAATGCAAAAATTTCTGGAAAATATCTTCGAATCACTTGGTGTTCAGACTTCAACACCTTTGAGTGGAAAGAAAAAATGCGGTTTTCAGTCTCCTTCACCGGGTAAACAGAGTTTAATTCATATTCCAAAAGAGAAAAAGCCGTGAGCTCTTAAATCAGACAAGGAAAATTGTTGTTTATCCTTACTTTTGCATTTTTATTCCTTCTGTTTTCACGATCACCTGGATTAAAATTGATTTCGATATTTCTGCAATTAAGACTTGTATGGATCCTAACTACTTCAGTGTTAAATTATGGCTCCGTGTAAATAGTCTGGCAACTTATTCCCCCGTGTTAGTCTTCCAGTGGTATAACATCGAACTCAGAAGAAGGTTCAGAATAATCCTTTTTATTCAAGCTTCAACTTAACAGCTTAAGCGGTTCGTTTAATTACAGAACAGGTTACCGCCCCTCGTGGGATTAACAGAACATAAAAGTCAAAAGTATGCAATTCACACGCGAAGGTCCAACTGTAAGTCTTGGCTTAAACTTCTCGAATCACGAGAATAACACAGCTAGCAAAGGTTAAAGTCGATCTAAATAAATCTATGAGCTGGACGAAAATATTTGGAGATGCGGCTCGTGTAATTACAGAACAAGTCGCCGCTTCTAGCGGGATTAACAGAACATCAAATATAAGCAGTTCACACGGCGAAGGTCCAGCTGTAATTTTTGGCTTAAATTCAAATCACTAGCGTAACACGGCTAGCAAAGGTTAAATTCGATCCAGATAAATCTATGAACTGGACGAAGATATTTGAACTCTGATCTTATATACGTTTAGTAATTTGCCTCTTATTTGCTGCCGACGAAAGAAAAAGTGACAATACGGATAAAAATAATAACAGAATGCGTTTATGGACATAAAAACCTACAGACAGTTGTTTTAATTATTGCAGATATCTCGATATAAGCCTATATTTCGGCAGACGAAAAGATTAAATTCGACCATGACCTTAAGGAAAAACGCAATATATGTGGAAAAAGAATTTTTACTTCATGTAGAATTTTTAAGACTTTTATAATGCTCATGCAAAGAAGTCTGAGACTGCATGACATGAGGTTTTCTGACATAAAGTACTACTGCAGAATAAGGTAACTTGCACTCGGACTAGTATTTAAAATTCCAATATTTTTTGCCATAGAATATTTAAATATCACTAGTTCTTCTTTAACAATATCAATAAATTTACGCACATTCTGAAATTATTACTTCATTAAACTACATATCTTGTAACATTCGCTTTAGTGCCACCTTAACAAATAATATTAGATCTGTACAGAAACTAAAGCAATTGTTTCTTGTATTTCTAGCCTCAAAGGTGTTACTGGCGTCACCTATACAAAAGATCTGCTCAAGAAGTGACACCTGAAACTACTACTCAGTCAGGAGGCGTAATGTCAGAAAGCGTCAGTCTTTTCCAATCTTTAGAAGTGAGGCATGAGGAAGCTGATGCCCCGAACCAACTTGCACTTCGGCCCTCAAGTAAGCTTTCAATTTTAAATTCTTGTTACTTTATTTGCATTTTTATAAACCTTCTGCTTAGTTAGTAAAACAGAAATTACGCATGAATAACCATACTGTAATGCCAAATTTATAGTGTTTAGAAATACAGAAATTTTCTTCAAACGTATTTGTTAACTCATGTAATGGACACGCTATATTCTTTAAAAAATTGAAATTACGATACATAACATTTAAGAAAGCTCATCGGTTTTTAGTTACTGCTTCTTTCACAATATCAAGAAATTTACACACATCCAGGCAACGAACAGAATTTATCGCTTCATTGAGAATGCTACATATCTCGGAACATTTAATTTAGTGCCACCTTAGCAAATAAAGTTAAGTGTGCAACATTAGATCCTTATCAAGATTTTTAATTAAAGAACAAGTTTTCAACCCACGTATTTGCGTAACCTAGCTAAATTTCATTTTTGTAAATTGGTACTATTAAATGCGTTTAAATTTAATTAAATTAAAATAAAAAGATTTTTTTTAATGTTCTTTGGTGCTAAAAAGGGTTCAACGAGATTTAAATGCAATGCTTTGCTTGTTGTTATGCTTAAATGCATTTTAAAATGTGGATCATTCTATCAATATCAAAACTATACTGCTCCTTTGAAATGAAATCTTTATTTTCAATATGACAACACATTTCTACTTAAGAAACATGTATTTCCAAATACATTTTAAGGCAGGAATACGCATGCTTTAAAGTTCAAGATAATGCAGAAAAGGAGAAGAAATACATTGATGTTACTTACTTGGTTATTTAAAATTATTTGCTGCTTTACTTTCAGCTAATTACCTCATGGTAGATATAATAAAAATACTGAAATTCTTGTAGGCTAAACAAAAGCCTATACATGATTCGTAGCCATAAGAAAACTGAATCTTTATTGCTTCAAAATACCCAGAGCTACATTAGAACTGTGTCAAGTTTATTCAGCATCAAAAAATGCTTTTACGTGCTTGTAAATATAAGTTGCATGTGCAGTAGTTTCTCAAACGGACAGCTCAAAAATTATATTTAATAATTAATTATTATGTTTTATAGTCATCTATGTAATATTTAAATGTATTTCATACTTCTATTCAATATATTTAATATTCATAATTGTATTTAATATTTCTGTAGAATATATATTTGTGTAATCGGGAACAAATTATTTTCAGATCTGCTTAAGGACTGAAACCACAAAATAAGCATTTTCCTAAATGTAAATAAAATTTAAAACATACCTTTTTGTTTAAACGTTATTTACTTTTAAGTTTCCTCGTTTATTGACTTGTCTCAACACATTAAACAAATATCTTCAGCAGTTGAGTAAGTAATCATTTTATTATTCAAATGGTTGATAAATGTTTATCAACCATTTGAATATCTATGCTTGTATGTTTACATGTGGATTTGTTTACTGATCGCAGGGTAAAACAGCGATTAACAAAATAATCGGAAAAATATTTCTTTTTAATCACATTCGATAATTTATGAATATGTGTCTTTTATGCTTATCCCTCACCTCTCTCATATTTATATTTTAAATATTTTCAGCTGGACGAGCTGATGAAGATATGGTATGCATAAAGACCGGAGGATTTGCAGCGATTTTTGCATGCCTACTTTTGTTGTTGCTGCTGGCAGCATTCATATCCATCTGTTTGTGTTTAAGGATGCGCAAACTGAAGTCTTACGTGGAAGCACCAGATACGAAACACTTTGTTGAATTCGATGTGCATGTTCCTATAAAATAGCTCATATATCCACGTTCCGTTATTAATAAGTATCTGCTGAAGTGTTCCGAGCTAAAATGCATGGTTAACTTAACATTAAATTTATTTTACAAACTGTTAATGACAGACTTAAAGCGTGATTCCCAGTTTTATACATGCTATATATATATATATATCAGAAAAGCAGTTATTTCTCGAGCTGTTGGGCATTATATGCGTTATTACTAATTCTACTTTATGAGTAAATTATGAAGACTTTTCATTCCCACCGACTAAATTTAACTTGAAATTTTCGCGTTGCCCATCAAATGATGGGATTACTGATATGTAATGTCATAGCTATAACCTTGCATTTTATCTGATTTATGTCGTGTTTTCAATCAAATGGGGTAAATGTAACTCAGTTTACACAAGTGCCTTAGTTTAAAAATGCTCATATTCTGAATACAAAGAAATCTCATTTTTTTTCTCATTGCATTTAATTCTTTTTCTTGCATGCTTCACACAGTGTTTGTTTGTTTGAGTACTTGTTTTTGCATTAGTTCTCTAGTCTATGTGTATTCGTATATACTTTTTCCGAGTATAAAAATGGTTACAATTTTCATGCGATATTTTACTTAAAATTTTTAAAGATATGGCAGCTATGCATGTTTCTTTGTGTCCATGCTTGTTTTCATTTAGGATTTCGCAAGTATCTCTAACATGCTCGAATAATAAAATCGCACATTAAGCAAACGTATAAAACTAGATAAAATTAAATTCATGTCACTTAAATACTTTTTCCTCTTTCTGAAGTACAAATTTTTAATGATCATTTCACCATTTTACTGTTACCTGACTCAAATTACAATTCCAGCGAATTTCAATTAATTCTTCTTTATTTATAAAAGCTTTCATTTATCATAATATCGAGAATTTAAAATTGGCAGTGATATGTATGTTAGGTATATTGGAAAACTTATTTTAAAACTGTAATAGCGCTTACAACAATTATGCACAATGTGGTCAAAGCGTTTTTATTTTGAAAAACAAAACGCAAAATATACTACAAATGAACTATATTAAAAATCAATATTCATTACTTGCATTTCTCCATGTGTATTTTTTGTTTCGCTTGATGTTCAGCAATGTGGTATTATATAATTTTTATGTGTTTTGTTTCTGTTACATTTGTTCATAAATGGTAGAAGGAAGCAATAATGTGATTTTTCATCATAAACATTCATTCATTTACACTAAAAGTGATATGTTTTTGAATGACCTTTGCCTGTGAATCAAGATGATTCATCATAATGTTTTTGTTATTTATTCACAATGTGATGTATTTTATAACTGGTGATTTTTGATGGTATAAGGATGGGTAAAATGTTGTATCATCTATTATATTTTTCTTTTTGTATATTACATACCCGCTTATTGCGGGTTGTTTTGGTGCTAAGATATTTTTTTCCTACGTTTTGGGCTGCTTACCACTCTATAGGGTGAGCTTGTGTGCATTCAATGTCTAATTGGTTGGATCTGTACCACCAAACATTATTCTGTGATTTATGTACAATGTTTGTATTTCTGAATAAAGGAAAAAATAAATAAAAAAAAAGTTTCTTTATTACTTACATGTACATTGAAACCGGAAAACTCTTTACATTTATATTCTTCAAACTATAATATATGCTGTTATGAGCAATAAAAAAATATAAGATCTTATAGATAAAAGCAATATAGGCAATTAGCGTCTAGAAAATGTTCATTTTCAAAAGGTTTCTTGTTTACAAACTACGTAACTAAATAAACACTAAACAGGGCTTTTCCAAAAACCCTTCGAGGGTGATCTAAGCGTGTTTTCATTTCTCGAAAATTGGCAAATAAAAGACTAGGCTAACCTCCGTTTTTGAAGGTGCTTACAAGGAAGAAAAGCGACTTGCATATTACATGTTCTTAAACACGTGAACATGATCTGTTAAAAGTGTTCTGCAAGAAAAAATAATTAAATAATCCAAATGTTGTATATTGCGATAAAACTAAGCAAATGATCCAAATGTAGTATTTTGCGATAAAACTAAGCAAATGATCCAAATGTAGTATTTTGCGATAAAACTAAGCAAATGATCCAAATATAGTATTTTGCGATAAAACTAAGCAAATGATCCAAATGTAGTATTTTGCGATAAAACTAAGCAAATGATCCAAATGCAGTATTTTGCGATAAAACTAAGCAAATGATCCAAATATATTATTTTGCGATAAAACTAAGCAAATGATCCAAATGTAGTATTTTGCGATAAAACTAAGCAAATGAGTTTAATTTTAACGTAAGTTTTAATGATACTAGATAAATTATCATAAGATGTTTTTTAGATGTTGAGTTGCAATAGTTAAGGATATAAGACAGATATAGTTTCTAGAAGGGCATTTTACGTGTAGAGGGAGAAGAATCATCATCTTGCATTCAGACTAATTTGGCAGATATTTTATTTTTAAGTACCGTATGCTCATGAAGGAATTGATTGAGATACTGAGAAGCTTAAAATTTTAATATTTATTGCGAGAAAGGTAGCGAGGGTAATATGCGATTTTTGTTTGTTATGAGTTAAATAAGTTTTTGGCATCTCGGTGACACAATCTGTATGATCACAAAAGTCCGAGAGAAATATGTAATAAAAAGCGGTGTAACAGAAATATAACGAATGTATGAAATAAAATGTTTGTTTCCTTTGACATACTAAACTAGTAGCATTAAAATTCAGACCAGGTTGCGTGTTCGAAAATCTATGTGTTCGAAAATCTGTCCAAATTCGTGTTTTACATTCTAGAATTGATTATATTTGACAAGTCTCCTGCAGGTAAAATTCAAACCTTTAAGATTTCTCACACGTTAAGCAAAATTCTGAATCCAGCAATTTGATTTTAAGCATATTGAGGGAAACGAATGCAGCAACCAAGAAAAGTAATTTCGTTTTGTTGGCCAAAACGTGCAAATAAGAATTAATGTTACTTATTGTACTCATTCTCTAAATATGTAGCAGTAAACAAGCCTTCCGGTAAAACAAGAAGAAAAGAAATTTCTTAAAAAATAAATAATGAATTGGGAAAATGAAATCATGTTCTGCATTTATCTTCTTCTTCCACATTTCTCCATCCTAACTGAACTTGAATCAGGCAAGAAAATTAAATTATTTATTTGGAAAATCCAGTTTAAAATAATGTAGAAAAGTCTATAGATTACTTCTACCAACTGATAATGATTAGCTCTTATATATCGACTTCCTTTAGATAATTTTCGTACATAAAGAAAATATCCACCTTACTTGAACACTATTTTGCTAATAATTTTCCGAATATGTTCCTCAAATACGTCAAGATTACCATTTACTTAATTTTTTATATTTTAAAGACCTTCATGAGAGAAAGTTTCATGTGCAGCGAATCAGAAGAACTTCTAAAAATAAATTCTTCTACTCTGAATAAAGCTTTATCTTTCAGGAAATCCGCTACGAAATTATAGCAGAAAATATTAATCTGAAACACGGAAATGAATCCCTGGTTAAAATTTCAAAATGCTGTTAAAGTACCCTGCTCCACTTGTTTCTATGCCAGTTTATAATCGAAACTGCTCCTCTCCTTTTAAGGCCCACCAGCGGCCGAGCGGTAAAGACGCTGAACACTGGTAGTTCGGTCTGAGGTTCGAATTCCGCGAACGGGCTGGCTGCATGGGTGTTTTCGTGGTTTTCCCCGTGTGTAACGTGTATACGAGCCAGTTTCCCTTAGAAAGTCCTCCACGAAAGGCATCCCTCCTCTTAGGCAGATAGCCCTAGTGTACTTTGCCATAATTAAATACACCACACCACACCACCATGATTAAATACACCACCACCACCAACTCTCCTTTTAAATTATTATGAAATGCTTAGATTAGTATAAGCATGGGAACTGAATAATTCTTAAAGTGTCATGTGGAAACTTGTATCTTAGATATTGCTTGCAAATCAGAATAGCAATAATCCTGTAAATTCAGAACAAAATAGGCGAAAGGATATTTGGACATATTTCAGAGTTTATTTGAGTGAAAATGTTGATTCAGAGAAGGCCAAAGAGTATTTAACAATTAAATGCATTAACTTCGCTAAATGTATTCTCGCTTCCTGAGCTTTGTGGCCAATTTATGTACTAATTACTTTCCAGGCGAGAGCACAGTTTCTGCATTACATTAAATTATATTTTTGATGCAGAAATTGATGATGCAAGAGCATTGTTTCAATGACTAGCTAATAGAACTTTTAAATAACACTTCTGATAATAATAGAACTGTGGTAGCTTTGTGAAGTAATTCAAAAGTTTACGTTTTAGAAATGTCAACTAATTATATATTATTATGAAAGTAACACTATATATATAATATATATATATCTAGTTTATAATAATTTATTTCCTAAACAGTATTGATTAATCGATTATATTATCTCCTAAGTTTAATTAAAGTAGAATTATTTTAAAAGTGTGCAATCCATACTGGTAAGTTATATTTTGAAAGATGTTTTGAAGTAATTTGAAAGCAAAATGTTAATAATGTTTTAACGGGGACTGGAGTTAAATCATCACGAAGAATAATATTTCAATTGTAAAAGGAAAAATTAAAACATGTAATCATTGTCATTGATCGGAAATTAGTTGACTTTTCAAGGGGAACAAACCAACTCCCGTTCAATGAACAATAATTGATAAAAATACGTCTTTACTCGAGTTATAAGTTAAAGCCAAACCGGCAATTCTAGTCAGGTCAAATATTTCCGCGAATAGTAGGAATTATGAACTAATGCTTATACTCAAAGAACTTATTCTCCTGAAGCATTTTAGTCAATTCAATTTGGAGTAAAAATCAATTACTGTATAGAAATCCTGTAATACTCGAGTAACCGTCCCCGACACTTTCATCGTTACGCATCTGAGTACTATATTATTTGTAGAAATTAAACATTGGAAATTGTCATTATGAAATCGAAATCAAAGTAATATATATATTTTTAAACATTTTGCCACCCGTCGCAATTTATACCACACAACTCCCATAAAAATACACCTTATTCCCATAAGAATAAGTGTCTAGTATAAGGATACATTTTTAAGTTTTAAAAAGGGGAAAATATCGAATCTCAGTAAACTTACATGTGTAATTAAATGGGAAATTTTTAAATGATCGCCCTTTATTATTACTACCAAACCTCGTCCTTTTCTAGAATTACAATGATTAATTTATTGAATTTCTCAGCCTAATATCTAAAGTCAATATGCAGATTTATTTAGAAATTGCTGCTAGTAATATTCGCTACTCAAATATAAGTATATGAATCAAAGAGATGAATGAAATATACTAGTTGTTAAAACGAAATGAATAAAACAGTAATAAATAAAACAATAAATAATATGTAATTAGAAACAAATAAAATATAAAGCTAAAATATACTAGCAATTTAATTAAAATAAATGGTAACTAAATAAATAATGTGTTACAAATAGATTTAAAAAAATTACTTAATGAGGGAGCAAATAAAAAATGAGAAAAATAGTTACGAAGAGCAAAAGAAATCTAAATATTTTAAGAGAACTTCATGTCATTTGTGGTTGGGAAATATGCTTTTCATTCCGTTATTTATGCAAAATATTTTCTTTATATGTACGAACGAGAACATTTACCATAAATATATCATTCAAAAATATCATAAACTTGAAAACAAAAGCTAAATTTTTTATATATTAATTTACTTTCGTCTAGCTTCGCATACTCGACACTGAATATCAAATTTTGCCTAAAACGTTTACCTACTTTTATATTTCTAATAGTGATGTTTGAATTATAAAAAAGGCAAAACTACTATTAAAATTATGTCGTAATTTGCTAATCATATGGCAATTTGAAACTTACATTTTACTGAATTCAAACCAATAATCATCGACTTTAATGCTGCTGAACGTAGTGTGAATACATCGTGAGCTTAGTTTCTAACAGCATTTAAAAGATCAAGAATCAGACTATTTTAGAGAATACAGAAGTTAAAGCTTTTATTTCAGCTTCATAATAAATGAATGAAAAATAAAAAGCACTCGTATTTAAATGCGGTTGAAATCGCATTGATACGTGCTGAAATATGAGGAATATATGCATATTAAAATATACATAAATAACAAAAAGATACAAACGAAAACCTATACATAAAATATATTTTCATATTAACGCATTGCTCTTCTTTCACACTAAACAGTAGTAATTTCTTTTGCCTCCAATCTGTTGATAACCAGGGATAAATTTGCTGCTTCAAAAAATACCTAATGTCTCTACAATGGCGCCAGAACTAAAAGGGTGGTGGATGACGACTTTTCCCCACACAGGATTTGGCGACTGGGTCCCCTAAAAACCCCAGTCGCCCTTTAAAGGGAGAGTATATAAGGTATTTCTCCCACCTTCCTGGCGTGCCTTGGTGGTGTAGTGGTTCTGCACGCCGGGCCGGTATTCCAGAGGTCCGTGGTTCGATTCCCGGCGAAGGCGATTGCTAATTTTTCATCCTAGCTGCTTCCAAAAAATACCTAATGTCTCTACAGTGGCGC